TGTATGTGAGCAATTGTAGCAAGACGTGCTTCCTCACTTCATATGCATCCTACCAGATTTTTATACATATATATAGTTAAAATGTAAATAGGTGATAAAAAAGGAAATTATGTATAAAGAAGAATACTCACAGTGGAAATGGGTGTTTCTATCCTTTTGCCATTCCACTCACACATGGCAAGTAGAACATTATAACCAGATGACTTTCGGAGAAAGCATTAAATTGTTACTATTGTATATATATAGTAAAATATAAAAGGAGGAGGTTCCATTGTAAAAGTAGTTACCACTTTAAGTCAAAATGGCCAGCATCTGCAACTATATGGTCAAAGTGGATTAAATCATCTTTCCACCAAGGGCATGATACTTTCATGACTTTACTTAGGACAGTAGAAACCCGTTGAATTATGGCTGTACATTTTCTTAGTGATTGAATCTTGAATTCATCAGGTAAAGGATGAGGGTGTAATATGTAGAGAGTTCTGCTAGAAATGTGTATAGTAAAAGGATGATTTATTTTGTTTACCTCCATTAGTAGTGTTTGTCTTGTCATCCAATGCTGCAGGAAAGCCACTATTTTCCATTGAATTAACCCACAATGGCATGTAGTGTACCTTTTGGAGTATTTAGTTATCCAGGAGTCATACGGTAACCATTAGTTAGTTGAAAAGTATGAATATGAAAGATAACATATATATTTTTAAATATTACCAAAAAGTTAAACACAATTTAACCACTGGTCTCATATGAAGCACAACAAGAATCAGCACCCATTAATTTGAAATTTATTTCTTTTTCTTCTAGAATGATTAAGAATTCCTTCTTGTAGGAAAAAATAGTGTAAGATTAGAGCTCCTACATTGATCTGCACCTATGCAGAGCCGTTGGCTACTGCATTGGTGTCTGCAGCTTATCCATAGGAAGTGCCAGCTGCAGCTGACAGACCAGTGCAGACCAGTACATCTATTAATTTGTGGTTTTGTATCTAGAGACGATCGTTTAATCGTTTCAAAGACCAGAGCTGTCATCCCAAGCCCAAACTTCACACTGAGACTACTACTTTTAGTATATTAAAAACAATGGTATAACTCCACATCAGGGGATTAGAAAAAAACATTCTCATAAGATTCATACGCTATATTGTACATCTAAAAGTTAACACAACAGTCACAGATGGAAATATATATATATATATATATATATATATATATATATATATATATATATATATATATATATATATATGATGTCTTACATCCAAAGTAACTATAGGGAAAGAAAATTGATATCTGGAGTATCTGAACAAACCTGGGAAATAGGTAGCTTATACTAACGGCTGCTCACCTCCTTAATTGGCCTATAAAAATTTGGCATCAATAAGCATATGATTGCATGTGACATTTTTGGTTTAATACAAAGTCTCAAGACAAAGAAAAAATTAAATGGCCACCTGGATGCCCTATTCTCACCTCAGCCCTAGCCTTCTTCCCTAGCATAAACAACAAAACAAGCAATACAACAGAGCTCAAAAATATTTATCTGACCGGAAATCAAGCTGAGGTAGATGTAGTCATATATATAGATATTAATGATAGAAACAATGAATTCTCTTGGTTTGTATTCTTTTGAACATTGTAGATGGAGGACAGACTGCTTAGACGAAAAAAAGTACTCATCAGTGTTGTTGCATATCTAGGCAAGTGAATAAATTGGTGCTGACGCAATACACTCAGGCAACAATGGTGCAGAGTCCTCAACTACTAAACGACCACCATCAAAGAGGCAGAGGGTATATACTGAAATTGATTATTTTGTTATGATTATGAGTCAGAACTTTGGAGAACTTTCTTCGGCTATAAAAAAGCTTGCTTAACAACCTGATCTTCCTGTTCGAAGGGGTTGTACGAAGAGCTGAAGAGCATTCCAGACAAGTTGCATAAAAAGATACATAGTGCATAAAAAGACTGAAGTCAAATGCACGATCAGTTTCCCTTGCTAAATAGTACTATTGCCAATTGCTAACATTGGGGAAAATAACCTGAAACTGTTTTTTTTTGTTTTTTGCGTTATTTAGTAGCAACAAATCGAATCTAAAAATAGGCTCAGTTGTACCAATGGCATCATTGATCAGTCTAGGACGTTCAAGAAAAAGCAGTGTTTGCTCATGAGTTATAGATTCCCACAGGCACAAAACATCTGTACGTGTTCACTTACAGCTGATCCAACTTATACTGACCTGATAAATGACAACACTATAGACTGTTTTGTAGGTCTTTCATTTTGATTTTTGTGACATGTCTTCTTGTGGTAAAAGCTTCACTGCAGTTAAGCTTTGAAGTTACAAGGTACCTTCGTTAGATTTTTCAATACTACTATCTGAGCCTATGCCAGTAAAAACAATATCTTATTCTAGAGCGATTTAACGATTGGTACATGATCTTCTATGTTTTCAAGAATAATGTCTCACGACCTTTTCATAGGTCTCTTTTTAGAAGTGTATTGGTAATCATAGCTGCCTACCTTACAAAGGTCAGGCCCTATCTGGAACACATGAAGTTTTCAGAGTTTGACTCCTGCTAGATTTGAAATGTATCCTAAGTGTTGCTGGAGGAAACATTTTGGTGAGCAGGTTAGGAGCACAAGCAACACACCTCAGTGGACTTGGCGTTGAGAAGATCCTCGCTGTAGGCGGCCTGTCGGGTGGATGTTGTGGCCTTGGGCCCCGGGGCGGCCTTCTGGGTCGGGGAGGGCGCCAAAGAGGAGGTCAGGGGAGGCGTCGTGGGCCGGAAGAGGAGGAGGCGACGGCAACGGAGTCGCCGGAGGTTGTGCCCTGGGCGCTGGTGTCGGGGATGCGCCTAAGGTCGTGGCGGGCGGCCTTCTGGGTCGGGGAGGTTGCCGGAGAGGAGGCCGGGTGAGCGTCGCGGGAGGACGGCTGGGTTGCGTTCGCAGAGTCGACGTTTGCCACAGACCCTGCGGCAGCGGTTCGGCGATCGAGGGCGGGGGCAGTCGTGGCGCGCCGAGGTCTCCGGCGGCTTCCAACTTGACGAGGTGCCAATGCAGGCGCGGAGTGGTCTCCGGTGCAGGGTAGGGAGGGAGAGGAGGCGTCGGCGTGGGCGAGCATGGTGATGGAGCGGCGGCGCGAGGGCAAGGAGAGAGAGAGAGAGGCATCGGCGTGCGCGAGCATGAAGATGGGGATAGGGTGGGTGGGGAGCGGTGATTGCGGCGTTTTAGCGACTTGGGCGCGGACGGGAGGCGGGTATTGCAGGCGTGGGCAGACGGACGAACCAAAACAAATGTCGCACAAAAAAATGTTCACGTTTTGTTCTTTTTAGTTATAGGAGATTCGAGGCTTAATTTCATCTCTAAACTTTCAAAACAGTTGTTTAGGTCAGTAAACTTTAGTTTTAGGCTCAATTTCATCCTAAAACTATCAAGATGATCGTTTTTGTCCTCAAATTTTGTATTTTGGGTTCAATTTCATCCATTAATTATCAAAGTGCATTTAACTTTTATTTTCAACTCAATTTTGTCTATTCAAAAAGAAAACTTTATACTCCTACAAATATCATTTAGTCGGATATATATAAATGGTACGACCATTATAAGGTAACACTAAAAATAATAGCTTGAAATTATTAATGGCCACGAAAGAGATTTTGGATGAATATTATTTTTCTATCTCTAATCGCTGATGGTGTTGGAGCTAACCAGGTGCAACAGTGCAACATTCCACGTAGAATGTAGACAAAGTTGAGTTGAAAATAAAAGTTTAAAGAACAAAATACACTTTGATAGTTTATAAATGAAATTAAGCCCAAAATACAAAGTTTGAGGACTAAAGCGATCATCTCTATAGTTTTAAGATGAAATTAAGCCTAAAAGTAGAGTTTGAGGACTAAAACGGCCGTTTAGAAAGTTTAGGGACCAAACCGAGCCTCGAGTAATAGTTGAGGGACCAAAATGGCTATTCTACCAAAATAAGGAGGTGTCTGGTTTGGGCTGCTAAACTTTAGTCCCTCCTAAATGGTTTAGCCCCATTTAGTCATTTCAAAGTTGCTAGAGATGACTAAATACCTTTTGGTTCTATTTAGTTATAGTATTTAAGTAAAAAGTAACTAAATAAAACTAAATAGCACTAGATTTAAAAGCTCGTAGCTGAACCAAACACACCTTTGAGATCTCAACGTTGCGCTCTGAAATTTTGCAGGTGACGCATATACGAATTCAAATTCCACCAGGGAAAAGGTAAAGCGCGTGGAGACAAACGTGGATAAGGCCTTGTTTAGATTGGGATTATGAATCAATATTTGGCACTGTAGCACTTTCGTTTGTATTTGACAATTATTGTCCAATCATGGCCTAACTAGGCTCAAAAGATTCGTCTCGTAATTTACAATCAAACTATGTAATTAGTTATTTTTTTATCTACATTTAATACTCCATACATGTGTCCAAAGATTTGATGTGATAGAGAGTGAATGAAAAAACTTGCAATCTAAATGAGGCCTAAAACGAAGAGAGACAAACACCTGTGCTGCAGATCGTGTGGGGATCGTTTTGTCCCAAGTTTGAATTCATCCACCACCCACCTGCACGTTGGAGAGGCTAGCAGCCTATTTGTTTCGACTGAATTGGCTTATAAGCCATGGCTGAAAGTACTGCTGACTGGTTTAGTGTGAGAGAGAAATATTGTTAAGCAATGGATTATAAGTCAGATACGAGCGAATAAGCCGAAACGAACAGGCCGTAGATTCCCTAACACAGTTTCAGACTTTTGTTTACTGTAAACTTTGAAGCATCAGATTCTGAGAAACTGGTCAGCTACTATGATCGTTAAGACTACGCTGTTTAGAATGCACGGTGAAAATGAAGACGCGACGCGGGAGATGTTTCTGAACTACAACGAATGCATTTCTAACTTCCCAAGACCAAGAACAACGCAAAACCAAGAATTACAGTGTTGTTCTCTCCCCGTTTCTGTAGTATCGGCCACAAGCTGTTCAGGGTAGCATTTGGTTTGATCCGTGGCAAGCCCTAGCTCCCCTCACCTCCTTGGACACCCTCTCCAGCATCGCCAAGAAGTCCCTGACGATGACGAAGATCCGGAGCGGGCTGGCCTCCTCCCTGCCGACGTCGCCGTGGTAGTACTCGGTGATGTCCCTGACGTGCGTCAGGACCCGGCGCTCGCCGTCCTCCAGCTCCCGGATCACCTCCTCGGCCTGGCAGACGAACGGGGCCATGAAGGCGACGAAGCGCTGGCCCTTCTCGTCGCCTGCCAGCCGGTCCGTCCCCACTAGCGCCTTGATCCGGGACAGGCCGTGCGAGAGGCTCGACACCGAGGTGGTGAGCACGTCCAGGTCGACGGTCGCCGTCTTCCGGACGTTGGTGAGCTCGGCGGCGAGCCCGGCCCCTCCGCAGCGCCGGTGGTGCCTTCTGGGAGCGGACCATCTCCTGGACCACGAAGTACAGCAGCGTGGTCTTCCCGTCGGCGCCCTTGACGTCGGCGAGCTTGAGCAGAGTGTCCAGCTTGAACGCCATGGCGCCGCCCCGCGCCGTCCCGACGTTCATCCGGTTCCCGGTCTTCAGCACGGCCTCCAGCAGCTTCAGGAACAGCTTGCTCGACATCAGCTCCCTGCACGCGTCCTTTCAGACGACAAGAACAACATTCACACGTGGGCGTTAGTAACAGTACGGTTACGAGTAGAATTTCGTCGCTGGGAGCTCAGGAGTCAGGATTGCCCACCTCGAGCATCGCGAACGACTTCCTGATGTGGCTGACTTCATCGGCGAAGGTCTCCCGGTACAGCATGGCCTCGACGCGCGCGAAGGCGCACGGTATCGTGAGCGCCACCTTGACGAGCCTTTCCTCCGCGACCAGGCTGCCGACGTCGCCGTCGTAGCTCTCGAGCTTCTCGACCTCTTCCTTGGTCGGCGCCATCTTGATCAGTGCCTCCAGCTGTTGTACCGACAGGCCGTTCCCTGAAATGACCCGACAAAACCATGTAAAAGACGAGACACAGATCAGCGAAGTATTGCTTCGCGCGTACAGAGGCGTTGTTGATCCACGAGCAGTTCATTAGTTACAGTACCTTGCAGCAGCGCGGCGTAGATTTGGTCGGCGGTGGCGTTCACGGCCTTCATGAGGATGGTGATGTTCTGCAGCCTCTTTGGGTCCAGGACATGGTGTCCGAGCGAGGGGCTCCGGCTCTGGCCTTCCTCGAGCTTCGCCGAGCACCTCGCGGCGGCGTTGTACCCGAACAGCGACTCGATCATCTGTTCGTCCAGTCTGTGGAGCACCAACCAAGCAGCGGTTACGTTTCGAATTCGTTCGTGATCACATTACAGTGGGAGAGTGCGCGGCAAGCGAAGGCGATTCGAACTTACTCGAACGAGCTGGAGCGGATCCTGTCCCACACCATCCGCCGGTTGGGCGCGGCGCGCACCTTGTCCCAGTGCAGGGGCTTCAGCTTGGGCAGCGGCGCGCCGTTCTTGCCCACAGGCGCGGTGTGCCTGAACAGGCCCGGCAGTGCCTGCGGCGGCTGGAGGATGGGGCCGTCGCTCCTCTGAGCATTCTGTCGTTGCGGTATTAGCAGCGGCGGTGGTGGTGGCGGCGGTGGGGGAACGACCGGACCACCACAGCTCATCTGAACGTTCTGCTGCTGTTTAACCATCACCGGTGGCAGAGGTGGCGGGGGTGGTGGCGGTGGCGGCGGCGGTGGAGGTGGTGCTGTTTTTCTACTTGCGGCGTCTGCCTCTGCTCCTGCTGCAATTGCGTGGCACGCGCCGCCGCTCTGGAATTTCAGAGACCTGACGGAATGAGCGGTTCCCTGGAGCTCAAGATCATTGAACGACTGCTCCATCAACACGGACACCGACGTGCTCGACGGGGAGTGCGCGCGGCGGCCCCGCTCCCCACTGCTCGGCGTGCGCGGGCCCAGCGGCGAATACGGGCTCGCAGCCTTCGTCTTGTCCGAAGGCGTCGTCGGAGCAGAGCCCCGCCGCTTGGACCGGACGGAGGACGATGGCGACACGCCGTCGCCCTGGCCGCCCTTCGCGAGCTCGGAGTAGGAGAAATGCGACGAGTTGAAGCAGCACGAGGAGTGGACCGACTCGGCGCCGTCGTCGTCGGAGCAAGCGCCACCGCCTTCCTCGTCTTCGCGCTTGGGCTCCTCGTCCGGCCATCTCCGGCGCCGCCTTTCCCCCGCCGTCGCGGCCGGCGTCGTCGAGGTACGGCTTGATGGCGTCCAGGTAGAACATGCCCGGGCCGGGCTCGAAGCTCACCTTGTTGGTGCCGCCGCTCTGGTCGCCACCGCCTCCGCGCCTGCCCTGGAACTTTCTGCACGTCAGGAACACCACCAGGACGGCGAGGAGCACCAGCGCCGCCCCCGATAGCGCGGCCGTCGCGGCGACGACGACCAGCGGCATACTTTTCTTCTTGCTTCCGCGTTCGCCTCCCCCGTCGCGCGGCGGGCTCTGCCTCGGTGCCGTGGTGGCATTTCCTCCTCTCTTATGGTTGTGGGAGACTTCCCCGGGGACCGGCAGCCGCGCGTCCTTGTGGAGCAGAGGTAAGCGGGCACGCGCCGGAGCCGGGGCCGGAGAGATTCCATGGCCGTGACCGTGACGCTGCTGATTCTGCCTCAAGCCGAGAGTGTCGATGCCACGCAGCACTCTGAACTTCGTGTCGCCGTTGTCAGTTTCCTTGGTCTTCCCGGCGCTGCCGGCGATCGACAAAACAAGAGCGGCGAGGCATGCGATCAAGAAGAGGCAGAGCAGGCGGCGTCTGGAGAGACCGGACATGGTTGCAAGCATCCAACCATTTCGGCTGGTATGAAATACTGTTCATGCTGGTATGAAAAAAACTGCTCCGATTGAAAAAAAAAATCAGCCAGCCAAAGTATCCCAGCCGAACACTCCCGAAGGGGCCGGGACGGAGTGAATCAATGGTGGGAGACCAGAGTGGAGTGCTGTTTGGTTTGGACTCTGGAAAGAAAGCTGCGAAGGCTGTGAGCATGAGATACAATACACAATCGTACAGGCATTGGCGACGCGGCGGCGGCATCGAGGGCAGCCAAAGTTTAGTCCCTGTTTTGGTTGACTAAGTGCGTGTTTAGTTTACTAATTTTAGAAATTTGGCTACTGTAGCACTTTTGTTTTTATTTAACAATTAATGTTCAATTATGGACTAATTAGATTCAAAACGTTCGTCTCGCAATTTCCAACCAAACTGTGAAATTAGTTTTTTTTCGTCTATATTTAATGCTCTATGCACGTATCGCAAGATTCAATGTAATGACTACTGCAACACTTTTTGAAAAACTTGTTGGAAACTAAACAAGCACTGAAATAAGTTCGGAAACTGACTAAAGCATGCATCGTCGGTACTCCTACAGGCCATGTTTTGATTGACTAAAATGAGTTGCTAACTGCAAAAAAAAAAAATTCTAGCTCTGATCCAAACATCTCAGCTTATAAATGAGATTATATCCCATTTTAAACTATTCGAACACCCAACTTATAAAAAATGGTTAGATGCCCAGCTACTACGGCTCAGAGAAAAAGTAGTTGATCCAAACGGGTCTAACTATGATCAGATGGATGGACACAAGTGCGACCTTATCCCGTACCAAGATCCGTAAACTCGTAAAAAGAACAATTCAGCACAGAAATTCACACCCGGGCCTTATTTAGTTGCTCCTAACTTTTAACTTTGACACTATGTAAAAAGAAAATTCTCTGTCATATCAAATTTGCAGTACATAAATAGAGTACTAAATGTAGACAAAATCAAAAAACTAATTACACAGTTAGGTTGTACTTTGCGAGATGAACGTTTTGAGTCTAATTAGTCAATGATTGAATAATTATTACCAAATACAAACAAAATACTACAATGCACTGCAGTGCGCTCAGTGAATCCGACGACGCTGAATTCGGTCAACGCCCCGTTTCATATTGTTCCCCGCAGTTGTATTTGTTCACCTGTCCCTTTGTATGTTTGTTGTGTGACCTGCAGTACCCCAAGGCTGCCCTGGTCCCCCTGCAGCAACATTACTCCCATCGTACTGCTGATCGAAAAACACAGGAGTACTCCGTATCTGTGACCTGGACATGATTCTCTGCTCCTGGTCTTACTGCGTGTCAGGAGTTGTATTTATATAAACTGTACCATACCCTGGCCCCTGTGTGTTGTTGGATTGGTGGCATCTAGCATCATGTGTGGGGTCCTGGCTGTGGGCCTGATTTAGATTAGGGTTAGAAATCAGTATTGGTTACTGTATCATTTTCATTTGTATTTGATAATTATTGTCCAATTATGTCCTAATTAGGCTCAAAAGATTTGTCTCGTAATTTACAGTCAAACTGTGTAATTAGTTATTTTTTTATCTACATTTAATACTCTATACATGTGTCAAAAATTTAATGTGATAGAGAGAGTAAAAAAACTTGCAATCTAAACAATTCCGTGGTCGGAATTGAGTACCGCCAAAGGGCCTCAAGCTCTCCAGTATCCTTGCACAGGATGGAAATGGATTGCCAGGTTCTTGCTCCAGGTTCATCCGAAGAATGTTGTTGCAGATAAGGCAAAAACAGCAAAAGAAAAAAAAAAAGGCAGCAAAAGAAGGCGCGGATTTAACCAGTAAAATCTCGAGAAAGGGGGAAAAAGAGGATGGAACCACAGGCTTCATAAGCATACTAAATCACATTTGTTAAGCAGGCTTTAGGGCTCTTTTTCTTTAACTGAGACTGAGAGCCACAGAAAGCTCATCAAGGACTGTAAGCAGGGATGCGTGTACAAGGGTTGCTGGGCTTGCGCCGATGGGTATGTTCATGTCCATGTCGACGACCTCCCCAGATCAGATACGATAGGACAGTTCTCCTTTCTCCATCAATGGTGACAGCCGCATCAACATCGCATGATTTGGTGGGTTACCAAACCCTCCCCTCGCCATTGATGGCACGGAAAGACTTGCGTTTTGTCAGCCTTGATAATCCCCTGACGATCTGCAAGTCCTGATTGGCGAAGCTGAGCGTGGAGGCAAAGCCCCAAATGGCAAATGGAGACGACTTGTTGATGCCGACGTGTATGTTTTTCACTAGGCTTACCACCAACCTGTATTCCTATTCCTACGTTGCTCGTGCAAGGAAGTAGGACTTGTACTACCAGTAAGTACTTCTCTGTTCGTGAAAGAATGTAATTCTAGTATAGTTTTATGGTTTAGTATCCTAAGTTCGATCAATTATAGATAAAAATTATCAATATTTATGATATCAAATAAATATCATTAGATTAATTACGAAATATATTTTCATAATAAATTATTTTAGAGCCCTAAATATGAATAATATTCACTAGAAATTTGATCAAACGGGAATCACTTTTGCTGTCATGCAACTCATAGTTGCATTCTCTTTTTTTTTACAGAGGGAGTAGCAAATTAGCAATAGTAGCATCCTCTCCGGGAAAAGCAGAGAAGCCACAGTTGCGGAGGAAGAGCAAAGCTTTCTGCCTTTCTTTATGTTGACTTCGATGGCTGATCCTGATCGGTTGGCGATCATGATTACATCAGGACAGGAACATGTTAAATCACATTATTTAGCCCTAAAGTATGTCAGCTAGGCACTCATAAATACCGCAAGGCTCAGTTCAGTGTCCACCGCCTAGCCTAGCAGATGTTGCACTGGCAGGCGGAGAGAACCGACTCCTGCGGCCCAACAAACAAATATGATCCATGAAGAGTCCAACGTTCTTCGATCCGAAAAGAGCTCCTGCGGCTCAACAAGCAAACATGGGCTTCGTTTATGCGAACATTGTTGGATCCGAAAAGCGAGACCCGAGAGCCCAACATCTCCCGCTCAAATCAAAACGAAGATGAGAACTGGGGATCCGAGAACAATTCATTATTTTTTTTCTCGATCGGGCATATTGCCCGTTTTTCGTCAACAGAAAACGGTTGGAGCAAACATTACAAATCGGAGCAACCGTGGTGGCGAGAAGCCATCACGAAGGCCGAGCAAACCTAGCTACTGGGTTCCATAGCAGCGTATTACATTGAGCTCAGATTTTGCGACCACAACGGGCAAGCTACAGCAAGAGTCGTAAACCCGGCCTCGATCCAACTCTCAGCCTCACTGATTACCCCGCGAAAGAGGTCCAGGACGTCCACCGCTGTGCCCTGGAATGTCCTCCTGTTCCTCTCAAGCCATAGTGTCCAGGAGACAAGGAGCACTAGCGTGTCGGAAGCCTTGCGTGCCTCCACTGACAGTCGTTGGCGTTCCAGGAGCCACCAATAGACCAAAGTGGCACTCGCCTCCGGCACCGAAGCGACAAGACCCACCGGGTTGAGTAGCCTGAACCAAAAGCTCCCGAGCTACCACACAACCGAGGAAGAGAGCGATGATCCCCAGTTTCACTCTCCTGGGCACAGAGCGCGCAGTCGTCAGCATCCTGCAGCCCATACGACGTTCCGCGGTCCAGAGCCTACGATGGAGTGCCAGCCAGAAGAAGAACTTCACACGCGGCGGTGCCTTGACCCTCCAGAGCTCCCTTGCGCCCGGTAGCGACGCCGCGCCGACGAAGAAGGCCCGGTATGCGGACGACGCCGAGTACTTGCCGTCCGGCGACCACTTCCAGACGAAGCGATCAGACGCCAACGGGTCGAGCTCGACGGTGCTCAACAGCCTCCAGACGCGCAGGCACCAACGATCTCCCGCGCCCAGCGGTGCTGGAACAAATCTTCCTTCACTGTCCTCCTCTTGCCGGTTCTGGAGATTGCCGCAAAGAGCTCCGGGGCGAAAAGACAGAGCGGGCCGACCGCCGCCCAGCTGTCAGTCCAAAGCTTCGCCGAGCCCCCGTCCCCCGGAACGACGGACATGCTGACCGCGCTCATCGGGGCTACCTGCTTCTCCGATCTGCAAGGCAGCAGCGCCCAGCACGGTCTGGCTCAGACCTGGCCAGCCATTCCCAGCGCAAGCGTAAAGCGAAGCCGAAGAAGCGGAGGTCCAGGATGCCCATCCCACCAAGCGACGTCAGCCTGCATACCGTAGTCCAGGCAACCTTGCACTTGCCTCCGGAGACGGACTCGGTACCGGCCCAAAGGAACGCCCTGCGACGCTTATCGATCTGTGCAACCGCCCACGACGAAAGGCAGCACGCGATGCTTAGATGCACCGGGATCGCAGACAGAGTGACTTTGGTGAGCAGAGCCCGCCCAGCGTGAGTGAGGAGCACGGACTTCTAGGTGGGAATTCTAGCGGCCACCGAGTCCACCAATGACTGTTCGTCCGCGCGTTTCAACCTGGTGAACGACAGTGGTATACCCAGGTATTTGCACGGGAAGGGCACGACGATGCACGGGAACACCTGCTGCACCAAGTTCACAATCTCATCGGTGCACTGAATCGGCGTCACGATGCACTTTTCGATGTTGGTGACTAGGCCGACGCACCTGAAAGGATCTAAACAATGCCCACGGGGTGAATAGGCGTATCTAAAAATTTATGCGTAATCTCAAAGTCAAATATCAGTGACAGTCGGAAGTCCAGATAGTTTGGGTCCGGAAGTTCCGACGCAAACAGCCGGGAGTTCTACCACCTACGAGAATTTCACTACAAGTGCTAAAATAAATTTGAGTGAAAGATACCTTACAACCCCAATCCCTAGTGGTAAAATGAAGTGTTGGGGTTGCTCCTCTGACGTCAGAAGGTCACCACTCCGTAGATCGAGTCCAAACCCTAAAAGGAGAGTTAGGGAGAAATACAAACTAACAAGAACAAATATGATAGCACAAATCACAGCAACAACAAGCATGCGGGACACAAAAATTTATCCCGAGGTTCGGGAACCCCACAAAGGAGCTCCTACGTTCTTGTTGTTGAGGTAACCACAAAGGTCGGAGTCTCTTCCACCTCATTGCCTCTCAAAGCAACCACAAAAGGTTATTTGAGCTTTTCACTAAGAAATCAAGGGTAATACAAATTTCCCAAGGCTCTTCCACAAGATAGAAGCTCTTGGCGACGCCTAGCCGGCTAGGGTTTCAAGAACCCAAGAGTAATAGACGCAAATCCAATCGGCTTGACGAAGAAATCAAGTACTCAAGCTTGTCAAAGTGATTCTTTCACTCAATCCACTCTCCTTTCACTCAAAACCCTAGGGGATCGAAGATTGGAGCAAAAGGGAGAGGAGAGGGGGGCCTTGAATGCTTGAGAGCTGTTTTGGACGAAGGTTGATGAGCAATGAATGAGTGGTACCCAGTTAGAAGAGAGGAGAGAGCTATTTATACTCATAGGCAAATCCAACTGTTCAGATCTGAGTCGGAAGTTTCGACACAGATCGTTGGGACTTCCGGCACCGCAAAAAAACTGTTCACGTAGACAATCCACTGGGCTTGCTCGCATATCGTCGGAATTCCCGGCGGTCGCCGGGACTTTCGGCTTTCATCGAGACTCCCGACAGACATGGCGAGCCAGGCTAAGTCCCAAAGCGTTGGGACTTCCGGTGGGAGTCGGGACTTCCAGAACCCGGAACTCCCGACTTCCGTCGGGACTTCCGACGAGCAAAGGTGCGCAGGTGGGCTGCGGCTAAGTCAGCAAACGTCGGGACTTCCGGCAGCAAACGTCGGGACTTCCGACTATCAAAAGTCCACAAACTATGTCAAGTGTTCGTGAGGTGATTTTGTCTCTCTTTTGATTTTTTTTTATGATTGAGCACTCTATCTTTCTCAGACCATCTAAACTTATATCCCTCTTTATAGTCGGCATACCTAAGCCCAAAACAAAACACAAAAACTTTGGAGAGCGCTTTGGGTTCGTCCGCTTTTTGCACTTGAAGAATTGAAGGATACCATTTCATCTTAGATCAACTCTTTTAAAGATTTCACGGGATTAAAGCTGCAATATATCTCATTAAGATCTTATTAATCCATAATTTGGATGTGATCGGTACACCAAAACCCACGTAGGGACCAATGCAGTTTCACACCCACGAACAGCTGTAGGATCTGCTGTAGGCAGGTCGGATCATTGGCCTCTAGGGCGACGAGGATGACCAGATCGTCGGCGTAGAGGGAGGCTCGGTGGGCGATTGCTTGACCCGGCGGCGGTGTCAACACCCCCGGCGGTCGGTTTCCCGGATTAGGGAGTTGAGGGCCTCCATGATTATGACGAACAACATCGGTGATATGGGGTCTCCTTGGCGAAGCCCCCTGGCGTGCGTGATCGTCCTGCCCGCCCTACCGTTCAGCAGCACCTTTGTGCTCGCCGTAGACAAGAGCATGGCGATCCAATTCCTCCAGCGCCTAGGGAAGCCGATATGCTCCAGGACTTCAAGCAAGAAGGGCCAAGCGACGGAGTCGAAGGCCTTCGCGATGTCCGCCTTGAGGAGAACGGAGGGGAATCTTTTGCAGTTTAGCCACCGGCAAGCTAGCTGAACTGATCTGAAATTATCGTGGATAGAGCAACCTTTGATGAACGCGCTCTGGTTCGGCGCGACAATCTCCTTTAACCTCACCGCGAGCCGCCAGGCAAGGCACTTGGCAAAGAGCTTGCTAAAGCTGGAACAATTCATTATGGAGGGCCAAAATTAATTAGCCTTGCAAAAGTTTGGTTACTATTTACTTCTTGCTAAAATTTAGTAGGAGACTTACTTCAGTTCGCAACCAGTTTATTTAGACGAAAGTTTTTGCCAACCGACTGAGTGATCTGCATTCAGCAGTTTCAACAAGCCGGTAAGACAGACACCAGTTCACATGGCACGCACATGGAACACGACCCGGAGACGTACAAGCACTGAAGCACACCATCCCTGTGCTTCATGGCCCGTTTGCCATTGCCGGCTACTCCACCGAGCGAATCGTAACGCCGCAGCGGCTCACGCGAAACTCTTCCCCCTCGATGCAGGGCGTCACGCAAATCTGCCAAGCAGCCGCCAGCCCGCCATGCATGCGATGCGAGGTCCCAGCCCCAGCTCAGGAACACACCATTACCGTGCATCGCCGTTGCTCCGATGCTATAAATCCACTGCAACCAATCACCACAAGAACAAATCAAGAAAACAATTGCCTCCAGTTTCCATCCAGCGAGAAGCAATGGCGTCGGCCCCTGCGTTCAGCGTCGCGCTGCTGCTGCTGGTTTCCGTCGCCGGCGTCCGCGCGGTGCCCCAGGGCGGCACGTCCACCTGCAGCACCGACCTCTTCCGCCTCCTCCCGTGCCTGCCCTTCATCGAGGGCACCTCCGCCGTGCCGGCGGACACCTGCTGCGCCAACCTGGGCAGCATGGTGCACGACGAGCCGCAGTGCCTCTGCCAGGCTCTCAGCAACCCCAGCACGGCCCCCGTCGCCGTCAACATGACGCGCGTGATGGCGATGCCTCGCCTCTGCCGCCTCGACCTCCCACCCGCCACCGGCGCCTGCGCAGGTAAAGTCCTCCCGTTTCAGCCTCGTGTTCAGGGATTTCGAACCCTGAAAAAGTCTGTATTTCATGATGATCCCTTCTGCAGTTGCAGGTCTTCTTCCCCATGGACCATCACCACCGCCGCCATCACCAGCGGTCACTCCACGCCCAAGCGCCAACTCCACTGCTCCAGCGACCCTCACGCCGGCGACGCCAACGCCGAAGACACCACGTATGGTACCGTCACCGTCGGTGAGCAGCCAAATGCCACGATACAGCAGGGGGTCAAAGGTGATAACTGACGGCTTTTCTGTCGCATTTGGTTTTGTGGCATTGGTGTCAATCCTAGCTTTCTGAAGAATTGGGCCACATCCTACAGCGGTGGGTGGCATTTGTCAGGCAATTAGAATTATGTCTTAGAGAAACTTATTAGTTGTTTTCTGATGGGCTTGTTTCCTAGAGAGATTAGCAGCCCAAGGAAATATTGTGTGTCTATCCCGGTTGTTCGGTTAGAAGATTGTTGATTTCAGTTGCAAATGTGATGATGAATGAATTCTTGTTCATACACTCATCCCTGACACAAAAATTCTTGCTAAAACTTACTGCCACCAAAAACAGAATTCACTCAACTGCATACTGAACAACAATCCAAATGATCACAAAAATTACAAAAACACAGTAAACAGCTAATCCTCTTCTTCTAAGCAAAGAAGGTAGGCAACTAGACCTACAACGGGGACGAACCTCACCGCATTCACAAACTCAGTAGCATCTGCCTTCACGTTCTGAAGATTATCCCCGATCAACCATGGCTGGAATATGGAGTACAGAAATATATCCCATAGAAACGCGTAAGCAAGCCGGTCCGAGAGCACATAACTCTGCACATACTGCCACCGTTCTGCAGTGCCTCCAAATTCAGCATCTCCGCGGCCAAAGAATGCCCAAACAATCGAGAGAACACAGACAAGACCGCCAATTGCGCCCACAACCGGTGCACCGTTAACCATAACTGAACCCAGTTGTGATCTTTGCGGTGGAGACTGGTCTGCATCCGGAACGTTCAGTCGGATTGCCATGTAAGGTATCAAGAAAGCTGAAGAGATGACAATGAAATGTTGTTAGGCAACCAGACATCTTCTATCCATCAGCTACAAAGTTTTTTTTTATTTTTTTTATTTTTATCAATGAGATCATACTATTTGTGAGGAACATCTGAAAGCCCCACAAGACGTCGAGCGATCCCTTGAATCGGTCCCTCCTATAATCCGTGAAGAGAAGTGGTGCAAAAAGCAGCGTCCAAGCGATCACAAAGTTGAACAATCCTTCTGCCATCTGGGCAAGCAGAGCAGGCATATATAATTTAGTCACTGCACGCAATGCGTGTGCAACTGCATTGCTATCTCGCAATAAACGTGAATAATCGGCTGCTTACAGGGTGAAGTACCGGCGATTCGAGCAGGTGAACGCTAACTACACTGCCCAGGAAAACTCACCAACAGAGTCACGACCATAATAGCTTTGGGAAAAATACCATTGGGTTTGGCTGGTAGATAAGGAAGTTACCGGATTTCGGCGTACCTGAGTTGAGCAGCGGCAGGACGAAGAAGAAGTTGAGTGAGAGGCCGATAAGGTCGCTGATGGTAGCCTGCGAGATCGCCAAAATCGAGTCACCCTGCATGATGGCGATCGAAGTTACAGGCTGTTTTCTGCCGGAAATCTCTCGGGACACGATGGCATCAAGATGACAGCGTTTGAGCTCATAATTTGGATTGTTCATGACTAGACCTAACTCCTGAACGCAAATGCATTCTGAAACGAAATTAGAGATTCGCGTGCCGAACTCACGGTACGGACTTACTGACCGGGGCGTAAGGCAGGAGGAAGAGCCAGAGTATGTAGGCAGCCTCGGCGCCCCAGAGCGCCGCCTGGAGCAGCGCGCGCGTGCCGTCCGCACCTTCCGCGGCTACCTCGCCGCGGCCGCCGCCGCGCTTGGCCGCGAACAGCGCGCGGGCGCGCAGAGGGGGCCCCCGGCGCTCGACGCAGAAGCCTAGTGGCAAGGCCTGCGGCCGCGCCGCAGCAATGGTTCGAAAGGCAGGAGGAGCGAGGTGGGTGGAGACGCGACAGGGGGAGGCGCTGCAGAGGACGGGGACGGGTGGCGCCGCCATGGTCGCGGACTCGCGGCCAACCGGGAGGCGCAGGGACCTTTTTGGGCGCGAAGTGGTGTGTATGGTGGCTTGCCAAGCCAGCAAGGCGATACTATCACGTTGCTACGTGGCCTTTGACGGTCGCGCCATCCGTGCCCGCTACCCCCATTCCATTTCCACGAACTTCGTTCGTTCTGAGTCCAGCGAACGATCCTTGCGCAGCCTACGGTTCTCCCTTGCCTCATTCAATTAGGTAGAGTTGGCACGTTTCAAGTCGGACACGCGCTGGCATGTTAACTATGGGTGTGTCCATCTTTATTCTTTCTTCTTTTTTTATTTTTTTTTTACTTTTTTTTACCTTTTTATTTTTTTATATAAGTTATTTCGTACACAGTTTCACATTTTTGCTAATACATTATGATGTTAATTTATACATCTAAGTTTTTAAATATAACTTATATGTCCAACTCTACATCTGAGTCATTCATCAAGTTATATATCTTTATACATCTATGTTATTGAATATAAATATGTCCTATTTTACATCGGAGTCATTCATCAAGTTATATATCTAAGTTATACTTCCTTTGTCCAAGAAAACATGCAACAACGAGTTGCGTGCCGACAAAAGTAGTTTATGTTTGACCAAATATCTAATGAATACTATTTACATTTATGACTCCAAATTAATTTATTAAGAAAATACATTTCATAATTAATCTAATGGTATTTATTTGATATCATAAATATTGATAATTTTTTTTATCTATAATTAATTAAATTTGAGATACTAAACCATGATACTGTGTTAGAATTGCATGTTTTTTGGACGGAGGGAGTACAAGCAAGTTATACACATAACTTTCCTCTTTTTTACGAGCATACACATAACTTTTCTTTTCTTTTTTTTGAAAGTTTCTACGTTATACGGATAACTTTTATGCATAACTTATTGTCACAACTTATATATCACAACTTTTATAATATAACATTTTGTAGAGCAAAACTTATTAGCACAACTTTTTGTCAAAACTTATTGGGCAGCGTTGGCAAGTTGTGTAGAATAACTTACCTACATAAATTGTAGAATAACTTATAAACATAAGTTGTGTTTTATAACTTTAGTACATAAGTTGTGTTTTCATAACTTTGTGTTTTTCTAAGTTTTGGCATAAGTTATAAGTTAATTCATTCCCTTTGTGTTTCCAAGTTTTTACCACAAGTTATAAGTTAATTCGTTCATTTTGTTTAATAACTTTTATATATAAGTTAGGTTTCATAACTTTTATGTATAAGTTATATATTATAAGCTAATATACATAAATTGTTACTAGAAAAAAAATTCTTTGAAACATATGTAAGTGGGATCTAATTTTGTTCGTCTCGTCACATAGAACACATCGATGCAGATGGAATTAAAAATTGATACACCGTTCAGAAGTTATAGCATTTTTAAATAAATGTTTCACCTTTTTAGGGTTACGTCATGTGACATCAGCAGCCCAAAGAGAAGAAGAGTGTTTCGCTCGAGACCAGCACACATCCGGGCGCGTGCGAACAGATAGAAATCGAATGTTGCATGCCAAAAGGGAAAATAAATGGGATCTAATTTTTTTCATGAAATGGAATCCAGTGGGAGCTGTCCAATCGTTCACAGAATCTGGTGAACTTTCGCCGAATAGCGGTGCCGGCCCGCTAAGCAGCAAATGTCGGGCCCCGGGCGGCATGAGCTGGAGCCTGGAGCGCCCGCGGCTGCCCTCTCCGCTAAGGTGTGGCTGCGGCCATCCACGAGTCGAGCGGGCGGGCGCAGCCTACGGCCTCGTTCGTTTTGCTGAAAAGCTGAAAGTATTATTCGCTGTTTTGTTAAAAGAGAAAAATATTGTTTATTCGCTGAAATAGTATGACTCATAAAATAAGCGGGTAGGGCCTACATATTTGGGTCCTTGCTGCGGGAGTCAGATGAGTGGGAAGCTGGTTGTGGTTGTTTAGGGCGTAAAAAGCTTCAGCGCTACATTTTTTTTATTCATTCAGCTACTTGCTTCCATAGAGTGATTCTAGTTGATGGTTAGGAGGAAGCATGGTGGGAGAGAAGATAAGAATTGATTCTAGAATGTTTTGATGGGTTTTAAATAGGAAGAAGTGAATTTTTTAACTCTCAGCTCCTTGTGTAAATGGAAGAAAGATTGTCGTTTGTTTCTCACCTAAATCTATGTAAGATTTTGTCGTTTGGCTAAGGATAAGTGATTCTTGTGGATAACCTGCTCCAATGAGCTATGCCAAACGCTCCCTTATATTCGCTACCAAAAAGCACAAAATCAACTAAATAGATGAAACAAGAAGTTGCTTTTCAAGAAAATAGCTACTTTCGCATAATACATTTTTCGTAACACCTTAGACCCTGTTTTTGGAGCCTTATGCTTTTCTAAATGGGTGCAATGGAGAGACGTTTCACAACACATGGCTTACAAACAACTTTTTCATAGTGCACAACTCGAAATGGCCTTTTCATAGCTCACAGTGGAACCAAACAGACACTTAAACTTGAGCCGGAGATGGGTAGAAGAGGGACGGTGCCTCGTGACTCTAGCGAGGAAAATGATGGCGGCAGATAGGACAATAACCCTATGCAAATATTTAGATGTGATTGCACAGGTTCTATCTCAATATAATAGGGGTGTGTAGTAGTTAATGAGGCAAAGCTTTTCCGTAGTCGACTACAACGCACAGTGAGAAAGTCTCGTTTAAGTCGTGTACCAAGAAGACCCAACAATATCAATTATCACGGTCCAAATTAAAGGTCTAGGACCAACAATCCCCAACGTCTCCATTTAGCATCTCACCATAGCACGCATAAGAGAAGACACTGCATGGGATAGGGATGGTGGCTCAAGATGTCAACGGGCAACATCCCTGTCCCAACCAGGATAAAATGTTATAATTCTTCTATTGCTGTCATTTTTAGTTGAAATAAATTTGGGGGTCTTCGCATTCATATCATAAGTCCGCCTTTGGTGGTACATTTAAATTTACTCTAAATTTACATGTTGCTTATTGTTTTGGTTGCTTGTTGTCTAAATTTACAAGTTTTAATGTAGCTCTGTGCTTGGTTTGCAGCTATGCAATTCATGCTGTGGAATTAACAAATCGGTACCTCATTTTAGTGACTACATCTAGTTTATGTGGGCATTATAATATCCTCACTAAAGTAATATATATTTACATTTTGTAATAATTTTGGAGTTATCCAATTGTTGTCTCAGCTTGCGATTGACTTGGAAAGTGAACATGTTTTGTTTCCTTTTACTTTTATGGTATTAATTCTTTTTTTTTTGGATTACAGAGTACAACATAGACACTCACTAATTCTTATGTTGTAAGTAATTAATTGGGGCCTCATGTTAGAGATTAAAGTTTGTTATAGTTATTTTTGATTTTATGCTATTTCTATTGATGTACAATTTGTAGTAATGTTGTGTAGGATTTGTATTGGTGTAAACATTTGTTTCGGTGCTAGAAATCTGTTAAAGAATCATGGGTTCTTTGTGTACTCCTTAATGGGTTGATGGTGTATTATCAAAATCACTTCTTATGCTGAAATTCTTGCTTATGCGTTATGTGTCGTCTTCTGATCTTTCTAAAACCTAACATGTTTTTAACAGAGAAAATCTGTAACATATTAGACAATTGCATGAAAGATAGGACCATGGAAGACACAGTGTAATTTACATTTCACTACTGCTAAATTATTGGCCTAATCTGCATGTTGCAACCACATCTTGCAGAAGTTCCAACAGTTTATTAAGTTCAGCGCACAGGGAAGGCCCCATCCCTGAACCACATGCCGATTCATCTGCCTCACATTTTTCGGCCACGTCATGCTGTGACAGTAAAACTCAAATACTTTGTGGTAAGGCAGATAGAAAGTACAAAATACATAAGGCGCAGTGACGTGGCACTGGCAAAGAGACGGCTAGAAGCAAGTTGAGCCCTTGGGTACGCGCTGTCTTGTATCAAAATCGGTAGAACGCACCGCCGTAGCGAGTACAGTTTGTTGCATCGTCCTCTGCATTTCGGCAGACTGAAGCCACACCCCCAAACCTGTAAGAAAAGGTAGAACTGCGTGCACGAGGGGTGACGATCTGTTGGAACGATGCCACGCACGTAAATGCAAGCGTCAGGGCTCAGGAGTAGAACTGGAACGTCGACGCGTCTTGGACGATGCTCCGTAAGCCGCCGATGGTAGACACAAGCATCAGCAGCACTCCGACGACGATGCAGCCCTGGCAAAGAGACGCGGACGAAGAGATGTGTGAGCAGCCGGAGGCCAGTCCCAGCTCTGAACTACTCTCCCAGTTTGAATCCGCTCCTGGTTAGAGTTCATAGTACTGTCAGAAAAAAGAATGCGAGGAACTGGCGTCGCTTACCCAGTTGGCACACGACGCGCTGAACCTCGGCGGCTTCTTGATCTTCAGCCACAGAATGCAGGGGAGCTGCGAAGAGAGTCCAACAATGCAACTTTCGTCACTGGAAATCTAAAGAATTGTTTGGCCGTGTCAGTGTGGAAGGCTGCTGCTGCTTACGAAGTAGGAGGTCGGCGTGAACCCGAACCCTCCGAAGAAGCCGAGGAGGTCGCCGAAGAACGGGAATGTCACCGCGATGAACAGTGTGAATGCTGCAAGCAATGGCAGACATGATGTCAAGTCCAATTGGCATGCAAAAATTTGAAGGTTTCAGTCTCTCTGCCGTCAGTTCATACCGACGTAAGCCGATCGGGCCACGAGACGGAGGAGTAATCCTTGCGGCAGCCTGAATCTCGTGACCAGAATCGTCTCGATGCTTTCGAATATAGGCATCGCATACACCTGCCCATATTTCAGATTCAGAGGCCATTTTTGCGTTTCGTCCTCAGTAGTTGAGTGACATGTATGTACAGACCAACAAAGACAACCTATGCACACTTAAAGTTACCTGATAGCTTCCAACGACATGGATGACGACCATCATGTTGGCGGCGGCGACGAGCCAGGGTGGCCGCTGCAGCGCGACGAGGACGTTGTCGCCGACGTCGCGCCCGAAGGCCCAGTATCCGAGGAGCGCGACGGGGAAGTAGCAGGCGGCGGTGACGAGGTACGCGGCGACGGTGCCCTTCCACATGGGCGCCCTGGACGGCTTGGTGGGCGTGGACGGGATGGTGGCCTGGATCTCCAGCACCACGCCGTGCCCCGCGTACGCGAACGCCACCTGCCCCAGCGCGCTGAACACCCAGAACGTCGAGTCCGCCGCCGTGCCGGCCTTGTACGCGTAGCTCACCCCGGGCGATCGAGTTCGTCACTGAGATCCATGCATGATGCACGTAGCTCAGTAGTCCGACCGTACCAGAGTGACATAGCGGCGGTGGCGAAGGACACGGCGGTGATGGCGTCGAGGTTGGGCAGCTGGGACAGCAGGAACTGGGAGGAGCCGAAGATGCAGATCCGGACTGGTGCAGCGGCGCGCTGCGCGGGCACACGGACTCGGCGAACTTCTGCAGGCACTTGCCGCCCGTGACCATGTACACCATGTCGCAGCCGAGCTGCACGATGAGCTGCTGCGGCACCACCACCCAGGGCCCCAGGCGCGGGCCCAGCGCGTGCGCGCCGAGGTCGCGGAGCCGGTCGAACCGCACGCCGGGCACGCACTCGTGCAGCTCGATCAGCAGCCGCAGCGTGTACAGCGTGATCCCCCACGACACCAGCAGCACCACCAACCCGGGCCCCCTGATGAACCGAAGCAACAAGAAGAAACACTGCTCGAGTGAGCCAGCCACGCCGTGAGCCGTGAGCCGTGAGCCGTGAGGCGTGGGTTAGGGTCAGTCGGTTACCATCCAAGGTGAGCCATGGCGTACGGCAGGCTGAGCACGCCGGCGCCGACCATCGCGGTGACGTTGCGGAACGTCACATACCACCATTTGGCGCGGCGATGGGTGGCCTCACCGGTCGCGTCATCGACGACCTGGAGCACAAGAAAACAGCACCTGCTGGTGAATGATCGTCGTCTCAATCGCAGGCATGGAAGATGGAATGGAAGCCAGCCGTGTCCAAGAACCTTCGGGAGAGCTGACGAAGGGGAGACCATGGTCAGTCAGATCGCTGCTGCACACACTAGCGCTGACACAGGAGGCAATGCAATGTGGCATGCCACTATGGTATTTATAGCAGCTCGTCAGCGAGCAATGGGCATCATGACTCGGCTCATTTTTTACCGGAAAAGAGTCCCGGAATTTAGGTACCCGCACCGCAGACACAAAAGCTTCTGTAGATCATTAGCGTTCTCGGTAAGAATGATTAAGTGCCGAAACAAAAGCAGAGGCCTGCGTTCATCCGCGGATTATCAAAACTTGTCGTGCGGTTGCAAAGATGTGTTTCGAATATTAAAGCAGCGACGGATTTGATACGATCGTTTCCGTCACCGATAGGATTCTTTCTTCGGACAAGTACATGTCCGGACGGGGAGCTGAATGCCATGGCGAATTGGCGACAATAGCTGTGCTCAGTGGCAAATGCGAAGTGAAATTATCGTACGATTTGGTTTAGGTGAAACACCAAACGATAATCCAACAATTTAGCTTCATTAGGAAGTCCCGGAATTTGAATGAGTCAAGTCCATTAACCTGTGCTCCTGCGCGGGTTAAAATTTTAGGCAACATTGGCATTACAAATCTGTGTTTAAATATCTACAACAGAGACAAATTAGTTAACCGTGTGCTTTTTTTAATCTTCTAACATAATATGCATATAAATACTCTTTAACTTATTATATCCAGTCGTGATAAACTTATCAATAACTCTATAAGCTTTTTATTCGTATTCAAATTTTCTCTCTATGTGGTGTGTTATCTCCATATGTCATCAATTTGCATTTAGTTGGAGCTTTAGCTTAATGAATATATCTAGCATTCTAGCGGTACTTTGCTAGTATGTTAAATGTTAGTACTTTTTTTTATTAAATTTGGTCAAACTTAATATATTTTAACATAGCATTGCCATGTCTCTCTAGTTTTGATCACATCACAAGTTAGGTTTTTCGTCAGAAGTCCCGACATGTTGCGCAAGTAGAATTAACTTTGGCTCTACAAGCTCATACCGGACTAACCCTTTCCTTGCTACCTTACCAAATATTTATTGATTTTTTAACTAAAAAAAGTTCAACTCATCTTTTAAACCACTCTAAAACAGGACACGAAAGATATTTTGAATAGTTTTAGGACTTTAGGAGTTAAGATGTTTGGTTTGGGAACATATCTAGTGCAAACCAACCTCTCCGTGCAAACCGTGCAAACCAACTGCGGGGGAGAGGTGGGAGGGGGGATTTGCAAAAGTGTAATTACGCCCGCTCCTAATTATACTTTTGCAAACCCCCCTCCCACCTCTCCCCCGCAGTTGGTTTGCACGGTTTGCACGGAGAGATTGGTTTGCACACATTGCCGTTTGGTTTAAGAGTTCAAAGTGAAAAATAAGAATGACGATAGTTCGGGTAGGTTGCCATGAGGTATATGGCATAAGGACTTCGGTTGCTTTGCTGGGTTTGTGTCCCGCTCCCGTGCATCCGAGTTTGATTGGTCTCAGCCCAACTAAGAAATAGAGGGAGAGGGCCCCAAAACAAAGGGCAGCATGCTAAAAGGTGACTGCAACAGAAATAAAAGATTTCCTTTGTACACAGACCTGAAACCTCTAAATGAAACGAGAATAAAGCTTTTATATGCATAGAAATTTCAGAAAACCAAAATTAAGCATGCATAAATAATAAATGCAACGTTGTGCTGCTTTCCAAAGAAATTAAAGGCAAATTGATTAAATTGCAAAACCTGAAATTTAGGGTGTTACTTTTTCATGACTAGTGTTAGGTTACATCAGGACTAACATTAACAGAGGAGAGCGCAGCTCATCAAGCTCACGAGTAGCAACATGTCAGACTTCTGCCTCAAAGAGGATGGCATCCGCGCCAAGGACTTCAGAAAGAAGAACTTGGTTTAAAAGCGTGACTAAAAAGCATCGGTGAAGCATCCACCAAAGTGTAAGTGCCGCACCAAAGATAACAGCCCAAAAGGCTCTTAGTTTGTGTCGGTGTTTTATAGACCGACTAGTGAATTTATACGAATATTGTGCTGCTCTAGAAAAATAATGGTAGCATCCAAAAAATACGAGGAGTTATACTGGTTCAGGCCAGAGCCCTATATCCAGCCTCAGAGATGATTGAGTGCGTGTTTCTCACTTGAATGCTCTGAAGTTCTTATAATGGGGTACAAGAATGGTGTAAGAGGTAGGAGAGCTAGAGCTAGGAGACGGACTGCCCGAATGAAAGTTTCGAGAGTCCAAAGATGATTAGGAAGGGTGTCCCGGCTGCCCTTATATAGAGTACGGGGCCAGGCCACATACAAAGAAGAAGGTTCTCCTGATCGAGGGGTCGTGAGCCTGAGGGATGGGGCCTAGCTAACTTGGCTTGCAAGTAACACCGTTTTGTGGTGCACGTCCGGGCGTGGTTGTTGTCATGGTCTTGTGCCCACGTCGCGGCATGGTGTGCGCGTGGTGCTATAGTGCCATTCGTGGCGACACTGTGGACACGATGGTGTTTCGCTAGCCATCCTACGTGACATGGTCTTGTCGTGCCCTTCGTCATCGCCTCCTGATCTCCTAGGGGTGTCATACAGGAGTTGGTAGTCGCCCCCAGGCCATTGATCGTCCTGCTACTTGTTGTGCTGGTGGCCCTGATCCCGTGCTCCGGGGTCGTGTCCCTCGTTGGCTTAGTTGGCCTCGAAAGTCAAGGGCATCGTCGTGGCCCCCATCCCGTAGTAGGTGGGGTCATACGTCTGTCTTGTTAGGCCGTATTTGGACAGTGGGTCGCCGTACTGGCCGCCACCGCTCGGCGGTGTTGTCTTGTCTGCGCTGCGTGACGCATGGATGGCGTCTAACCAGGCTGAGGGGATTGTTGTCCCCTCGGTCCTTGCAGGGTCAGTGCGACATGCATGCTCTTTGTCAGAGCGGGTACGCTTGGTGGGGCTCGATCTCTCCCCGCCCCTACCAGAGGTCGGGACGGAGGAAAGGTCATGAGGAGTTTACGCGGCGCGCGCTAAAGGTTTTGGGAAGAGGTCGTGGCCTACCCTTGCCCATGTGTTTGGCCCAACTAAAAGCTCTAGTTTGGTTTTGGTGAATTGATGAAACCCTAAGTGCTAACGTAGTTTATCAAAGTGATTATGAGATAGGTAGCACTACTTCAAGTGATAAAGCAATGGTGAAGATCATGATGATGGTGATGGCATGGTGATGATCAAATGCTTGGACTTGGAAAAGAAGAAAGAGAAAAACAAAAAGCTCAAGGCAAAGGTGAAACTTGATATGAGCTTTTTTATTTTGGTGATCGAGACACTTAGTGAGTGTGATCATATTTAGGATCGATAGCCGTACTATTAAGAGGGATGAAACTCGTATCGAAATGCGGTTATCAAAGTGCCACTAAATGCTCTAACTCATTGCATATGCATTTAGGACCTAGTGGAGTGCTAACACCCTTGAAAATGTTTGTGAAAATATGCTAACACACATGCACGAAGTGTTACACTTGGTGGTTGGCACATTTGATCAAGGGTGGTGAAGTTTTGGGTCAAAAGGAGCTATTTCGTATTGACCGGACTCTACCTTGGGCAATGACCGGACTCTGACACTGCGTCCGGTTAGTGGTGCGCAGTGAAGGCCGTCCTCGATCCATTGACCGGACGCTGAGAAGAAATTGGACCGGACGCACTAGGGGTGTGTCCGGTCAGGTGATGACGTACGCTGATGAAAGCATCTGAACAGGCCAGTAAGGACCGGACTCTGGTCCGCGTCCGGTCGCCTATGATCGGACGCGTCCGGTCGTGAAAAACCGGCTCTGGTGCCTTACTGGAAATGACTGGACTCCAGTGATGAAGCATCCGGTCACTTTGAGCAATGCGTCCGGTCACAACTTAAGTGCACTGATGATCGTTGAGATCGGGCGATCAACATTTGAAGTCAGGGACACGTGGCAAAAATCTGAGGATCAGACCCTGGGGTCCTGCGTTCGGTCAATCCGACCAGCGCGTCCGGTCGCCCTGATTTTTCAGGGAACAGAGAGCCAACGGCTCTATTCATGGGGGCTCTCTATTTAAGCCCCATGGCCGGCTCAAGCTCACACTCTTGGCCATTTGCATTGACATAGAAACCTTGTCAGCTTAGCCAAAGCCCTTTCACTCATCTCCATCATTGATTTGCCATCTTTGTGAGATTAGGAGAGAATCCAAGTGCATTGCTTGAGTGTTTGCATCTAGAGGCACTTGGTGTTTGTGTTTCACTGTGGGATTCACTTGTTACTCTTGGTGGTTGCCGCCACCTATATAGCTTGGAGCAGCAAGGATCATTGAGCGGAGGTTGGTGATTGTCTTTGGCTCTGATCGTGGTGATTGTGAGGTGTTCTTGACCTTTCCCCGGTGGAGAGCCAAAAGGTACTCTAGTGGATTGCTTGTGGCTTGTGCGATCCTCATCTTGTGTTGGTTGTGCGGCACCCTATTGAGGGTTTGGCATGTGATGCCAATTAGCGCTTGAACCTCCAAGTGAGTGAATCGCTACAACGAGGACTAGCTTGCCGGCAAGCAAGTGAACCTCAGTAAAAAAAAATCATTGTGTCATCATTTGATTCCGAGGTGATTGGTTTTCGTTGGTATTCATTCTTGTGATTGATTGGTTTATTCCTTGACTCGGTGGTATAACCATCTTGCTCTCTCTCTTTACATTACCATAAACTAGTTGTCAAGATCTTTAGTGTAGCCAGTCGTGAGAGCTTGTTAGTTTGGTTAGTGTGGCTCTTTAGTTAGTCTTTGAGAGCACACTAACTTAGTATAGTGACATAGCCATTGTGTGGAT